AAAAGGAAAAATTTCAAAGTATGGAAATTTATCAAAAGAAAAATACATTTTTAGACACAGTTAGTAAGAATTAGGTCCTAGGTGAGACAATACACAACATTATCAGAAGATTCAGACATATTCCTAATAGATAAGTAGATATTTTTCGACAGTTCCTCTTCTTGATTACAATTTAGACAAAAACATGTTGTAACGGATCTAACCATTAGGAAACTCAACATAGTTGAAAGTGAATACTCAACAGGTAGAATTGATTTAATTGACATGGTGATCAATTATCATCAACACCAGAACAAAGAAGACGACTTTAAAAACAATTCTAGGTAAATTAATTTGATTCATGTGAGAATAATGCATGGATCTAGTATCAAGAAGACAGCCGGGCATTTGATGATAAATGTAATACATTCTCTAGATTACAGCCAATTCACGACTGTAATGCCAACGGCAGCGGCTCTGCCTAGTATTCGAATCTGCTTCCGCTCTATATAAGACTTGTAACGCCGCCTCTCGAACTTCCGATACTCGAAGTTTCCAGAAAATAGCAGGTTGACAATCGGATCATCAATATTGGTTTTACGCGAGTAGTGAGTGGTGAGTTAGTATTAGAGAAGCGAGGTGAGCAAACAAGCGATTATTAAGAGTATTATAATAGTGTTATCTTTGTGAATAAAATAAGTTGACTCCTGTAAACGCAGTATCACATATTTGAACTTGACGTGCGCAACAGTACAAAAATGTCTAAAGTACAGAAACGTGGCTGCATTAATCCCACATATAGTTTTTGCTATATATGTGGTCAGTTTACTGCTAGGTCGCAGAAACGGCCAATTAATCAAATGACCAAAGTAGCTTACCATAAGTATTTTGGATGTGTTGTTGGTGATCAAGATCGGGATTGGGCTCCTCACGAATGTTGCCAAACCTGTGCAGCAAATCTAAGTAACTGGTTAAATGGCAAACGCTCTTCCATGCCTTTTCCAGTTCCAATGATTTGGCGAGAAACAACAAATCATTACAACGACTGTTACTTTTGCATGACAAACGTGTCTGGTTTTTCAAGAAAGAGCAAACACAAAATTGTATATCCGGATATTCCTTTTGCAAGAAGGCCGGTTCTTCATGTAGAAGGTTTACCAGTTCCAAGACCCCCGGCAAATTGGGAGGAAGATTTGGAAATGTATGATGACCAGGCAGGTTCCCATGATGTGCCAGAAAAAGACCGTTCTTATTTTCCCGAGAGTGAAGAAACCTGAATTAAATGACTTAGTTCTGGACCTCCACTTGTCCAAAGAGAATGCTGAATTATCAGGGTCTAGATTACAACAATTGAATTTACTAACCCCTAAAACCAAAGTTACAATATTTAGGAACCGTAACCATGAGCTATCCTCGTTATTTACTATGCAGAATAAAATGTGCGTTTGTGTAAATCCAAAAGGCGTGATGGAAAAATTAGGATTTGCCCTTACCCCGGCGAATGGCGTTTATTTAAAGATTTGTCTGAAACAAGTTTAAAAGCCGTTCTGCTCCATATTGCTAACAAAAGAATCTCTATTCCTCTTGCACATGCAGTTTTCATGAAGGAAACACACGAAAGTATGTCACTTATTCTAAATGCAATAAGTTATAATACGTATAAATGGCAAATATGTGGTGATCTAAAAGTTATAGGACTATTACTAGGTCTTCAGGGTGGATTTACTAAGTTTTGCTGTTTTCTTTGCCTTTGGAACAGTAGGGCAATACAGAGCCATTAACAAGTGAAAGAATGGCCTCCGGGAGATAAATATATTCCAGGTCAAGCTAACGTGAAGAATATCTATACCTCTTAATTCCAAAAACGTTTTGTTACCTCCGTTACACATTAAACTGGGGTTAATGAAAAATTTTGTAAAAGCATTAGACAAAGAAGGTGATGTGTTTGAATATCGTAAACACGTTTTTACAAAATTAAGTGATGCGAAGCTCAAGGAAGGTATAATTGTTGGACCACAAATTAGAAAACTACTGAGTGATCAACAGTTTGATCAAAAATTAAGTAATGTTGAATTAGCTGCGTGAAGTTCTTTCGAAATAATTGTTTTGGAGTTTTTAGGGGACACGAAAGTAGGAAATTACGAAACATTTGTGGAAGACCTACTTGAAAACTACTGCAGAATGCGATGGGGTTTGAATTTTATCCCAGAAAATGTGGGTGCTGTCAGTGACGAACAAGAGGAAAGGTTCCACCAAGACATACTGACAATGGAGCAACGTTACCAAGGCAGATGTGATGCAGCAATGATGGGGGATTATTGTTGGTTCCATATGAAGGAAAATGATGAAACATATATAACGAAAGTCAACATTTGCAAAAAGGTTATGCACAAAAGACTTGTAAATAAAGTCTGTTATCCTCAAAATATATTGTTTTTTCTTGTTATGATTTTATATTTCCCTATAATATGTGAACATTTTTGTGTAAAATGAAAATAACTATAACTCAAAATCTTTACGTGATGGAACTTTTTTGATGTTGAAGTCACAGACAGGATGCTTTAAACTCTCATGTATAGCCATTATAATATTATTCGCATTTATTTTTTCTTATTTGTTGGCTAGTGTTATTATCTTTTTTCAATTCGACAATCATTTGCTGAATGACGTAGAGTCACATAGTCACGAAAGGTGATGAATTAAACAAATGTTTGTAAATGTTGCGACATTTTTATTTTTGTATTGCAGGCAACAAAGATTGGTTTAAAGAATATCATATGCCCTCTGGTCTATTGGAGTAGATGAAATTTGTTTGTACATGTATTGCAACAAAAATATTGGAAAAAATGTATATGCTTTTTACGATCCAGAGAACGTGATTTCAAATTTTGGTTCAAATCGGACAACGAACCTTGGCTTCGCAAAGGACCGCCTCACATTGAGTCGAAATTTAAAAACAAACTTGTGATTTCCAAGGTCTCATTCGACAGTTTTTGAATACTTCATAGACATTCAGTTCATTATTACAGTGAACCATACATCTTGAATACTGAGATCCAGTATTATTGATTTAGGCGTAGTTTTAAAATATTATTGTTTCGCGCTCAAGTAATTATTTTTTGGTATAATTTAGCTCTAGAACCTTCATCCCCTGGTATGTAAGGTATGTGACCATGTTTTAGTTGTTTTTTTTATTATATAGTTTGAGGTAATTAAGTCAAATTTAGGAAAGTCAAATAATAGGAAAATCAGTAAATGGTATACTTTTTATTAAGGTTATAAGCCAAATGGAGCTAGGGTTGTTATCTATACTTTACGATATAGATTAGTTTTTAGTACTTGACTTACAGAAAATAACATCCGAATTTGCCATTATTGTCCAAATTCATTTATTTCGTTTTAAGAACGTCTCGTACATTAATTATGAGTAAACAAACACCTCGAAATATGTATATAATGCGGGTGGGTTCATTTCAGACAGAGTGAACCGTCTAAATATCCCAACTAACCATAAACTCTGCCTGCAGTCGGTTCAGTAGAATGTACATCTACGCCACCTGCAGACAAAGTCCGGAAACAACTCTACAAATACATACTCCGGGGTGGGAGTCAGAAAAATAAATAAATATCTTCCTAAGAAGTGCATATCACATGCTCCAGTTCAGGCGAAAACAACTTACTTGCTTCTCATGTGAACCTACGACTTTGTAGGTGCGTGTAGCAGATGCCTAACAACAACAACTAACCCAGCTTATGTCACGCAGAAAGCCGAAGTGAAATCATCAGGCACCTGTGTAACGTCTTCCATTTGGAATATTCGTCGCAAGCAACTTCAGACGGATCACCCTGAAATGACCCACCCAGCAATGACAAGGAGTTAGTACTCCGAAACCCTGTCTGTCGGTGGTCATCCCGATCAAATGAAATTGATTTCAGTTTTTCATATATAGGAAGTTACTTGCGACGAAGGTGGATGATGGTTTTACTTCAGCTTTCTGCGCGGCATCACCTGGCATAGCTGATATATGATATATTGTATGAAGGCTATACTCCTGTTTTTCTGTCCGTTTCGTCTACTACTGCGGCAGACATTTTCAAAGGCAATGTGGTTCGCATACATTAGCTGGTGCTCTGGTTCTTGTTTTATCCCACGCATCAATTACCATTTCCGTACTGACAGGTACCTGCCACACCTATAAATTGAGAAAGAGAGTTCCAGAGAGTCGGTCGGTGTCCAGAGTCCAGACATCATCAGAGGATGGCAAATGAGACTTCGACAAAACGTTGTGAAAATGATTCTTGTGAGGATCAAAAACACAGAACACGGAATGAAACTCTTTTGACGTTATTTGTCGCAAGTCACTATTTTAATGGCTCGTTAGCGGCGTCCTCAAAGGACATAGCGGGTAGAAATATCTCAGTGACTTTGTGGAGGAATTGCAGTGAGACGACTATGTTGCTACCTTTGTTGTACCGGCATGTTTTCATTCTTGAAATTCTTTCACTCTCAGATATTACCGAATGTAATATAGGCGGTAGCCAGGCGGTTCGACGTGGGTGTTTTGTTCACTCACTCGAATTGACTGCCGTGTTGGTCGGTGGTTCAAGCCCTAGTCTGAACGATCGATTTTCACTTGCTATCGTCCAACTCGTGTTGGGAATCACACGTTAAAAGGTAAGACCTCGTTAATCCTTAGCTCGCACAAGTTCCGACTTCTGAGGGTTGTCGTTCGTAGTGGTGCGACAGCTGGTTAACGGAAAAACAGATTTTGAACAGATTTTTAAACAGGTAGTAAAACTGTGGCGCGACTTTCTGAAGTACGAGTATAAATTTGTAAAGAGTACGTGGATGCGGTAAGAAACATTGCTGGGGGGTGGAAAAGTGTGCGCGCGTCTGTTTCAATGTTTGGCTTTGGACAAAAAAAGGAATAGTTACAAGTTCGCTTTGTTATGGACGAATTTTAATTTCATCGGTGAGTCAACCAATTGATTTATGTGTTGGTTCATTCGAAACATTATGTTGAAAATTTTTCGATAAATTTGAAAACTTACCCTGTACGAATAATTATGGCACCCTCTGTAAGTATGAGTCATATTTTTGAAAAAATTGTTTAAGACATTGTATTGTTTGGATTACACGAGACAAACTATTATTATCAACAGGGGCCCAATTCTCTACATTATGTGAGTATGCAAAATTTTGGGTATCTGTGTTGAATATGTTAGGGAAAGAAGAATGGAAAGAATTTGTCATAATTAGAGTTTTCTCTTTGAATTGTTCAGGAAAAAATACAAGTTTTCAGTGTAGTTTCCATAATTTTTCTGTTTAATATATTTTATTCATTTTATTTTGATTTTCATCATTTGCATATTATTGACATTCCACGTATTGTTCCACACGTATTTTTTTTCAAATTTTTCAGTATTATTCCTTTTTCGAATAACTCATCCGAAAATTTCGGTTCTGGTTTTTCAATATTTTTAATATTTCCAGCAAGATTCTCTACAGTTTCCACATTTTGCAGCTCCTCAAACAAAAAACCTCCTCGATTATTGTTCAAAAACAAAAATGCCAAAAACCACATGAAAGATTTATTTTGATTCTGATGAAGCTGTGAGAGGTATCAAAATTTTACAAAAATCGAAGACAAATACAAAAAACGACTAGGATAGTATATTCTGTGCTATTGATATCAATATTTCTAATATGTTCAGAATTATTCACGGCGAGTCTTTGTATTCCAAAGCTCTGAATGTAAACTTGTTTGATTTACATTGTGTTTTTTAACCATTCCAATTTAATATTATCATTATTATTTTTTACCGCAGTTTGCGCTGATCAGGCCCTACAGCATTGGGTCAGAGAATCATGTGCCCTGAGTGAGCGCAGTGAGCCATGAATGACAAACTTCTGCATTTCTCCGGCTAAGATTTCTACCTTAGTGCGGCAAGCCGTCATGATTTTGAGATTCGAGAAAGCATCATTCCACGAAGAACTCCAATAATCAGAACAACCATCTTGAGAGAGTGATCTGGATAAAGACTGCGAAGTTCGAAGAGAAAATTTCGATATTTATTCCGTTTTCCTCCTCTCTTCGGACGATATTTGTCTCGCCAGGAGCTGAAAACTTCACGACAAATATCGACTTGGTCGAGAAGTACTGCTACAGTCTCATCAGCTTGTATGAACCTGAGGCTGGGAAACGAATAGTTCGAATAAATTTGGCACTTCTCGTTCCTCACAACGGATGCAATATTCCCTGGAGCGTGCAAGTGCATTATGGTCTCGCGGCTGGCCCTGCACCTTGTGTTGAAGACACCATCCTGGCAAGCCATGATGAACCCTTCAGTTTCCGACTTCAGCCCACTCAACCTGAGGAAAGCGAAAGTCAGGCGCTTTGATAAGCCAAGGTCTTCAATGTTATTGAAGAAGACCCCAGGCATTGGCTTCGCCTTGTGTTGCCGCAAAAATGAGGTGATCTCAGCGGCTTTTACATGCGCCTTTTGCTGAAGGGATTCCAACTCGACAGAGTGACAGAGTTGTGACCACCTCGTTCAGTGTCGAAACTAAACCGAGTTCAACAGCTGTTCGAATAGCTGCTCTATTATATTTTTATTATTATGCATACTGTGGTGAAACCATCAGGAATATTTTAAATCACAGGATTCAGGAAAGTGTATATTTATCCCATGGATTCTAAAGGTAAACGTTTCCATGCCTTATAGGAGAATACCAAGCCTTTTTTCCATATGAAAACAAGCTTTGATAATGGAAAACTGTGTTCAATGAAGAAACAAAGTTCTATTGTTGAGAGGAACTAAAATGTTACTACCTGTTTCTGTAGCTGATGAGGAACCATAGGGATCGAAAATTATTATCTCAACGATATTCACATGACCACACCCAAAATATTATTACATGCATTATCCGATAAATATGCACTTCAATCAGTATGAATGGTGAGATCGAGTTTTCCAGTATAATCGAAAAAGAAATATCCAGCAGATTTGAATATGAATTCTATCCTCTTTCTGACGTTTATTGCTATACTACCTTAGGCATTTTCTGGTGCTCATGTATTCAAAACGTATTAGTCTGTGATTCAAATACATTCATTCTGGCGTTGAAACGTTGACGTCACATCAACTATCATTTGAAACGTATTCATCATGTAGTCCAGTCATTTGAAGTTTTATCTGCGGAAAAATTCCTATTGAGCTGAATTTTGGTATACACCTCCATTATGGCGTTTTAATGAAGATGTGAAAATTCGACATTGATATCGTGCCGGCTAAAAAAGTTATAAGGGTCAAAAGGTCACGAAAATAAGTTTAGCGGGAATATCTCGCGGCCTTCGGCTCGAAGGTCAATAAAGGTCATTATAAAAATTATTCCTCATACGATTATCTACAAAAAATGTCTTTTGCATTTTTCAGTAAAGTCAACCGTTTTCGGACTAGAGCGCTGAGAAAGCGACTGCATTATGATGATGTACTCGTTTCCGCACCACCTTTGAGGTAGAATGCAAGGCGCATTTTTTTACATGGTTTTCCCTGTAGGCATAATTCATGAACTGTATAATTAAATGTTTTTTTTATTTTATGCTCAATAATTTTCTATTTCTACATTGGAAAATAGGGAAACACAAGATGTAGAAACGGCTGCGGTTCGTCTTAGTTGTTCCATCGCTTTGATATTTTTACTGGTATCGGAGTAACCATCAAAAATGACAACCATGATAGAAGTATTTACTGATGATAATGGAAGAACTGTGTCAGTGCGTTTTGATGTAATTTTGTCGAATGTTACACCTATCATTTTTTTAATTGACTGCAGACCAATTTCTTTGGAATTATAACAGTTGATTTGATTATTGCCAGCAATTCCTGTCGATATAGAAACTACTTCATTGCAAGTTGAAAAAGGATTATGTGAAGTAAACCACTCTATAAGTTTTTCAATGTCATTATTATCTCTTTCAATGCGCCTTATATGTATACGGTATACAATACCCTATGTGAGTGCATTCTACTCGCTTTCTCAGCGCTCTTGTCCGAAAACGGTTAATTTTACAGAAAAATACAAAACAAATTTTTGTAGATAATCGTATGAGGAATAATTTTTATAATGACCTTTATTGACCTCTGAGCCATAGGTCGCGAGATATTCGCGAAAAACTGATTTTTGTGACCTTTTGACCCTTATACTCTTTTAGCCGGCACGAAATCGATGTTGATTTTTCACATCTTCATCAAAACGCCATAATGAAGGTGTATACCAAAATTCAGCTCAGTAGAAATTTTTCCGCAGATTAAAGTTTAAAAAACCTAAAATGACTGGATTAATTATTGAAAACTAGTGTGAAGTTGGTTTTGAAACGAAATTCGACGTTACGTTACTTCAGTTGTCAGTTTCTGTTTTTTTATCGTTATAGTTTATAAAGTGCTGAAACCTTTTTATAAAATACGTTGTAAGGATGTACAAAATGAAGCTAGAAAATTATTGTATGCACAAATCCGATTTTAAGTGAGATTAGAGACGTTAACCATCTTGATTTTATTCAGGTTGAAGCCTGGCCTCCTTCCCCTTTTAACTGAAGTAGAGATTAGAGAAAATTGAAAAGTTTGTTTTTATTATTGAATTTGACATCTGACTTATCATTAATGACGTCACTACGACTCGTTTTTGAATACACGCTCGAATACGATTGAACGCCAGAAAACATCTCTTGTTTCAGACGGCAGTTTAATTCAAAATTTAAATGAACACCAAATAGCTTTGTACAATTCATTACTTGTATTTACCGAGAGTCGTTGTCTTCTGAGAATTTGAAGATTTATGAACACAGTAATTTTCTAAATATATTACCTGTCTTCAACCAGAAGTTGTTGTCTCCTGAGAATTTGAAGATTCATGAACAGATTTTGAGAACATCTGTAGAAGTAGGTAATTCAAAGTGACCACTTTTAATCTTCTTATAGAATATATTCCATTCACAAAAAGCTCAACCGTTGAATGAGAAATTGAAATTCGTTAAATACTTTGAATTTCATTAGTTTGGACTTCCATTGTCTGATATTATATAAAATGATTTGAAATCCCTGAAAGAACTAATTAAAAAGAAGAATTGAAAAGAATAGCTGAAAATAACAATTATATTAAGCAAAAAACTTGAAATGAAATAACAGTAAAATAAAATACAAGTAAAAATTCAAAATTCCAAAAATAAAGTTAAGAGATTCCAAGCCAAGTTACTTCACGACGTTTCGATTGTTAGTATCCACAATCGTCTTCGGGTGATGACTGGACTAATTCCTCTGAGAGATGACTATGGGTCTTTTGAGTACTTTCACCTATCTCCGCTTTCCTTTTTCCGCTTCACCGGTTTAGTGGGAGTTGACCGTTTGGCGGGAGTTGGTCATTTTTAGCAATAGATTGACAGAAATTAACTGAGAATAATGAAGCGAAATGAATCTAACTCTGTTTCAACAATTTACATCAAGAATAAGATTTTTGTAACAACAATGTTGACAGAGACATGCCGACATTTTATTTACATAAAATATGCATAGTATGCCTTGCATTTCAATGATTTTTCAGATACAAAGTAAAGGCCAATTTCCACTAAACGGACTCGCTTACGACTAGTTTCATTTTAAAAAACAGAAACGAACTCGAAACTTGACAAAAACTAGTCTGAGTCGCGTGTTTTGTTGTGAAATATTTTATATCGTTTCCACTACACGAACAGTTTCCATCATACCTTCCCTAGACTATGATTTAATAAAAAGTCACGATTTTTTCATAAAAGAATATTTTGAGCGAAAGGAGCGCAAGCGAAAAAAACCAAGATACTGAATGAGATAGATCATTGTTAAGAAGTCGAAAAGATTTTGTAACGGATAAAATTATTGTAGATTCGATATTTTCTAAGAATTTGAGAAATTGTTGAATGTACTGAGACCAAAAGTTTTCAAACAGGATACAAATTACAGATATGTTGTATCTGAATAGTTACGTATTGTCGTCGCCGACGCTATGTTTGTAAACATAGCGAACTATGTTTACAAAAATACAGAAAAAACACCGCAACCTTTTGATCTTTCCGCCTGCCGACGGGAGATTTCGTTGTTATAGTTCAAGTTAACGATATAGTGCAACCTACTTTCCAACAGCTCCCCTTTAATTATATAGTTAGGGAGCTAACTAATTTCGTTATTCAATAATCATATATATANCTTATGAATCTTTGACCCACATACAATTTCCATTTTTTTCACCAAACTAGATGCGAGATGCGATAAAAATTTCCGACTTTCAGAAATGAATTGCAACTGTGGAAGTTCTTCAGGATCTGATAAATCGGGAACAAAAGATGAAATCAGATGGGCTCATCTTCCGTCGCTTGTTATAACCAAAATTTTTACGATGTTGGACAAACATGACAGAAAAAATGCGTCTGAAGTTTGTAAAAATTGGAGAAGAGAGTACTTCCAACCAAGGCGAGTATTATTTTTGAGTTTCGTGTAATCACTTTTAAGTCCACAGAAATAAATATATATGCAGTTTTTAGCATCCATAATATTTGTTTTGGATTCCATTTTTTTCCAAAGTAAATTTGAAATTGAATTTAGTGACAAAAAATCAAATAGGTCTCAAAGTTTCTTGATTTACATCCAGAATACCCAGACAACATCGGACATAGGTTTAAAGCATAGGACAACATTTTATTCGATTCAGGAGGGAATATTCCAGTACATGAAACAATCTGTCACTTGAAAATTCTTCAAATATTACTGGAGATTAAACTGTTTGATCTTTCTCTTGAAGATTCCTGTACTGACGCCTGTTGGATATAATCCAACGCCGATCGTGGTATTAGCCAGTAATTTGTATATATTGTGTTTATAAGCACTTCACATACTACCAAAAATTACCAATAATAACACATTAAGCGGTTATATCTCAATCGAAATGTTTCAAATTGTCCAATTTCATTTCAACCCTAATTTTAAATTATGAATTCTCTCTCATATCCTCTTTTTGTACTCATAAAAAAAGTAAGTAGACTTAACTTGCCATTCGAATACAATTACATAAGAAAACAGGCTATATTTGCCTAGCGTGAGTCTACTTCAGTGAGTCATTAAAAAAAACTCATAGTAGTATGCAATATCCATTATTTTATTTATTTTCACATTTTTGATTGTTTTTGATATCGATGTTTGTATGTATAATGGTTTTGAAATATATTGAATTTGAATATACATTTATTTCAAAAATAAAATAAAAACAACAATAAGAATTAATTGGCACTCCAGGACGACTTCATTGATTCCAGTCGCGCATTTGCTTTTTCAGCTGCAGGCAAACCCGGAAAAACCTGCAGCACCACATCATCTGAAGATCTTGATCTAAAGCTGCATGAACAGGTGTTTGAGTTTGATGAATAAGTAGGAAACATTCCCGTTCTCGTTCATCATTAAAACTTCGTTCTTGAAATTCTTTGTCATGAACAACACTTGTAAAATGCTATTCATGTAGCAAGTGTTTCCTGAATTATCCAATCCAATTTTCTTCTCTAGATATTCAGGACAACTATCGCAAGGAAGAACATGTTTCACAGAATCTCCATAAGAACCCTTTCTCAAGCTGCGATCGATCCTTCCAAGTGAAGAAGGGTTTTGTAGAGGAATCGATTCGGCTCTTGCTTCACGAATCTCTTCCACTGAAAGGGAACCAGTTCTACGAGGACTGCAACTCATATTTAGGGGGCAAGAATGACCTGAGTCACTTGTGAATTAACCTTGATAGGAGACTGATGAATATCCACATATCTCGGCTTGTTTCGAAGTATATTGAATATTGAATTTGTTGTTATCAGTGTTAAATAACTAAGCTGGTACTGATATTGAATATAAAATCGAATGATAGTGATCGAACCACGTTTTTCAGTTTGAATGAATTGAATTAATTTCATTTTATTTTCAGATTTTGGCCCACCGTCACATTCTTTATCGAAAACAATAACCTGGAAAAAAGTAGATTCCTCACTAATATATTTGGAAGCAATGTTAAACATGTGAAAATTATCATGGATTCGTTCTCAAAAGCATGCATCGAAGAATTATTTGATCTAATGCAAAAGTTGGCCTGGAACAACAAATTGAAAACGTTATCTATTAATCCAACCCATTGCGATTTGGAGACCTTCAAAAATCAGGTCAAGATCAGGTGAGTTGGTCAGCATCTGGCATAGCAAGTTAGCCAGCATCTGGCATAACTCACAAGTATTTAACCCCCTCCCCGGATATTGTATTTCTTCGCCAATAAGTTTTTGAGGTCCTAGTTAATATTACAAAAATATTAAATAACGAAAAAAATACAAATATCAAAAATAAGGTGTTTATCTCAAGTGAATATGTAGAAAATTCTCAAAATATTTCATGAACCTAACTGAATTTTTGAAATTTTGGATAAGGGGGCAGCCCGCCTTTCCTTGGACTCTTGATGATTCTAATGGAGCATTGCCATTAGGTAAGAATCTCGGAATTTGAGATACCCAGCTGTAAGTCTGTAAATACTTGTATATTGACACCCTAAAAGTTGTCTGAAAACCTACATTTGGTAGGGTGTACGCAACTATTAAATTTCAAGGTCAAAGGTAACAAAAATCGTTTTTTTGCGCTTTTTTTGTAAATATCTCATTTCCTATGGGTTTTTTGCTATTTGTATTCATTATCAATATTGTAGAATACATAATTCTCTACAAATTTTGTTCAAAAAATTTTTTCATACGGTGAACCGTTTTCGAGATAGAAGGCGGAGAGCGCGCGGTCACAGGATCACTTCAGGTCAACCGGTGCCTCCGGTCGAAAACGCGCCATGTACAGGGTGTAACTGAATAAGTGTAAAACATTCAAGAATGTGATTCCTCATCGAAAAAAAGATAGGATCTTTCATATAAAGAAACTTCATTGGAGCATCCCTTGTTAAGATACAGCCCCTTAAAGGGGGTACATAAAATTTGTATAACAATTTTTTTCACAAGCACGGAAAAAGTTACAATATTGAAATCAACCTGACGTTCTGTACTAGCAAAAAGACAATTAGCCAGTAATTTATTTGGTTTACCCCATAGTTGTAAGGCGAACTGGATTTATTGTTATTTTGTAGTTAGTACCTGCATTAAACGATTAAAGGGTAATAAACAAAACTAATTTTTTAATAACAAAGCACACAACATGTAGAAATCATAGTGAATATTCAATATGTCTACCTTCAGACATTACGCAAGAGTCTAGACGTCGGCGCATTGAGCCACGTATTCGCTCAAATAATCCTGTAGTCTCTCTGATTACCCTGCACGCATCGATGATGCGGTTTCTTAAGTCCTCTACATCGCGAACAGGAATTCGAGAAACCAAATGCTGTAAATGGCCCCAAAAAGAGAAATCGAGAGGATTGAGATCCGGGGATCAAGCGGGCCAGTTCTGTAGTCCTCCTCGACCTATCCACTGATTTACGTATGTTTCAGTTAAATGCTGACGTGCTACTTGACTAAAATGGGCGGGAGCCACTGGACTATTTTGCAGATGGGAATCGGTAGACTGGAAAGAAGTGATGACTCAGTTTGAAATATGTTTACCTAGACTAACTGAATTTAGTATAGGGTGTTTGGGGATCCTGCCATTACAGGTGGATTGGATATTAGAGAAGCTCAACCCCAAGTCTTTGAAGATACTTCGTTTAGCTTCCTTTAGCAGAAATCCTCCTTTATTTAATGATTATTATTTCAATCCAATATTACTCAGGTCTTTCGTCAAATTAGAGGTGAGTTTCATTATTTTCTCTTTGGCATGATGTGATTATCATTGAAGACTTTTAAATTCAAGGAATTAATTTTTTTTTTTTTGATATTTGAAATATTAAGTTAACTTCAAGTCTGACAAATGGTTAGATCAAGGAAAATGCATAAAATAACAGTTTTACAAATGGTTGCTTACGAAGATAAAACCCGATCACAACAGGAAGTAGCTCGACTATTTCATGAAAACTTTCCTAATTTACCGTCCATTTCTCAAGGAACAATAAACAAAATAGAGAAGCAGTTTCGCGAGCTTGTTCATGTGAGGCAGATAAAAAAAGCAGTTGCCAATGCAATGAGTGATGAACTCAAATTAGATATATGAAGCTTGAGTTTGAGGAAAACCCACATATATCGAATAGACGGACATTTAATGTTAGCCATACATCGATAGTAAACATATTAAAAAAAATAAAATGCATCCCTATAAAATGGTACCTACTCAGGAACTCAAGGAAAACGATTTTGATTAGGTTAGATGTTAGAACACAGTTTTATTTGAGATTATTTGACCCTTATAACTTTTTTAGCCGGCAAGATATCAATGTCGATTTCTCACATTTTCATTAAAATGCCATAATGAAGGTGTATACTGAAATTCAGCTCAGTAGGAATTTTTCCGCAGATTGAGGTTCAAAAAACCTAAAATGACTGAATTAATCGTTATAATTTTTTATTACCTAATATTCTGTACATAATTGGAGTATATTCATTCAATTTTCTCATTCGACTACATAATTGAAATGAAAAAACATTATTTCATCAAATTTCAGGTACTGAGTATCGATTACGACCAATTATGCGACGAAGTTTTGGAAACGTTGAACAACGCCATAAACTTCAAAATACTTGTCGTTCATCTCCATGGTTTTCACACAAATCATGAAGGTACCACAGAACGAGCTTGGGGCACTTTTAAAAAGAACCATCCGGGAATCATACTGAATTTAATCCTTGTTCATGCTCTTAAGCAAGTCAATATTCTTCCAAAAAAAGTGTTGAGGAAGCAAATGCCTCTCAAGTACCTACAAATATATAGCTGCGATAAACAGGAACAAAAATGCGATTGCAGAATCATGGTGTGAAAATCAATCATCTACATTTATCTATATCTACATGTACGTAGATTAGGCATTTGATCAGGTATCATATGCAATTTGTAGGAAATTTGAGTGATTCACACATGAAACTAATAATAGGTTTATTGGTAAATAATTGATTTCAATGTTTCTGTGTGTTTATGTATTATATTCTATTTTCAAGTGACTTGTTTATGTTTTCATCCTATCCTATGGCCTTCAATTGTATTTTTTTTCGCAAACTCCTAATGATCACCCAGTATATTTTTGGGTGAGTTGAGCAAAAAGTTGTATATCGAGAAGTCAAACTTACAAAATTCAGTGGGCATTTGCTCGTAAAATATGTCATTCATAACCAATTACTACTAAAAGTAAATTAATCAAAAACTTAGGTTAGGTTAGGTTAGGTTAGGGCCAAAGTTCCTCCCATGGGAGGAACAAATGCAAATGGTCTGTAGAAAAATCAACAAAAGTTTTTACATTCTGGCAACGCCAAAAAATATTTTTAACTCAGAATAATTATTACAGGTTTACTATGCATTTGTGTATTCCACAATTTCATACAATGTAGTCAGGCATCTTTGTTGTTCAAAAACGGATCATTAGGCTTATTTTTTTTAGTAGTCGGCAGTCGAGCAGATATGTCATCAAATCAAAACAGATCCTCACGGTAATATCAATTTGATGAAACTTTTGGCATACAGTTCCAACAACAAACTCACAATCTTAGAACACTAAGGAAAAAAATAATCAATCAATATCAAACTGAACAATCCAAAACATTAGTATTACAAAAAATATCCCATTGATGCAGATGTCCCGTTTTTTCAACAGTCTACCGCATGAAATAAAAATCGTAGGATCCCCTGGTATTTTTAAGTGTTTTGATATAATATCGATGTATCTCACAATTCATGTTAATCATTCATTTGTGTAATAATTTCGCATTGCTTCGATGTGTCTTATTGTCGTTTTGTTTGTCAATTAAACCTTACATTGTTCATCTAGGACATATAAAATTGTAACAAACATTGACTTGTTCTATTTATTGTTATCGATAGTTGAAAGTTTCAATAAATAAGTTATTTTTCAATTTATTTTTATCAATAATACACATGTGATTAAACGTTTCGTGTCTACACGGCCACCATCGACTTTTTGTTTCTTCTCTTTGTCTCTTTCATTACAAATCATGGTGAAGTGATAAAATCACAATTCAGTGGTATACCATACTTGATATTTTTATGATGTTTCATTCAAAATTTGCATCATCATTATCAGTGACAACAATCGACAAAAAAAATAAATTTATAATTAATTTTTCCGGGAAAATAATATCAATATAGAAAATGAATTCTTTTATCTCTAGGGGGGTTCTCCAGTTGGAATATTCAAAAATCCTTTCTTACCACTTTTAATNGAGCTTTTTTCAAAATTGCTTAAATATTAATATATTTTGAGTTATTAACGAAAAACTAAATCCCTTTTTTTTAAATCTTATTTTGTTAATAACAATTGCAATTTTTACCTGCACCAAAATCCTTCAAAATCATTTTTCTAGAGATGATTCCGAATAGAATGAGCTATTGCTCATATTTTTAGGACCTTTATCTCTATTTTTCATGTTTTTGAACTTGTTGATTAGACTAAAATAGGGTGATGACCTTCTTGTTCAGAGGTAAGACGTGGAGCAACGTTATGGAAAGTATCTTAGTACCTTACCAAAAAGGTTGTAGATAAAAGGCGTATTAGGGTTCGCAGATCTAACGACTCTAGAATGGTTTAAAATAGTTACCCAACTGATTATTGAGAGTAGACATGCGCAAAACTTTTCACGTTTCAACTGTGCGACTACATTTGACAGTTCGAAAACTCTTCAGATAGCGAACCTGAGTACCTACTTCTAAAGTCTGTTGAGTGAGAACGAATCTGTCGGGAGTTTGCTGTGTGCAATTGAGAATTCTGTATTTGTAAATAAGTAATAGTGATGTGGTTTAAAAAGAAAAATACTAACACAAATGGTGAGGAATTTAAATTATAAGCTTTTTTCCGAGTATAACTTTTTTCTTGTTGCTTGGCTTAATTTTTCTAAATTTAGCAAAATTGTCGAAATTATATTTTCAAATTTGTTCAGGAAATATAATAACAAATGAACTGATAATGATATTCTCAGAATAAAAAATAAATCTCGGTTTTTCTGTGAATTATTTGTCAATATTTACTGAAGTGATTGCAAATAAAATCGACGGAACTTAGAAATAAGCGTTTCACTGAGTGATTAAAGTTAGAAAAATACAGTTTTTGGGTTTTTGAGTCATCCTTTAGTGTATCAAAAATGGAAAATTTCCACAAAACAGGTTTGAAAATTGAAAATATCAATTCGAACTGAAAAAATATATAAATGAATCACATATTTCGGTTTCATACACGAACAAGAATAATAACTATCTCAAATAACTACTTTCTTTCACCGATATGTACTGAAATCACAGTTTCTTTGTGAATTTGTTCAAATCGGGTATTTTTCAAATCGAAAGACTATTTGACAATGTCGCTAAATGCATCTTCTAAAACATCATCAGCGTCTCTATAAATATTGATGTTAATGATAGTTTTTTTATAGATCTTGAAATAAGGTTGACATATTATCTATTTCAGTATAAAAATTAAATGATCCAATGTTATCTATGATGAATAACTGTACCTCGAACTATAACAGAGGTGAAACCATCAACTTGTATAACAATTATCCGCAGGTACTGGGGACTCAGTTTTGTTTGGCATTATGGGAAATTACAAACATTTTTCGAAAAGAGGGAATATACCTAATAGACGGAATAATGTTGAAAATCTTCTTAACCTTCTGAATGAATTCTTTTATTGTTATTTGATGTACCCAGGTAGATTTTCAGATCTTAGGGTTTGGGTTTAGAACATTAAATGAACAACAATAATTCAACTAACCTAGACTGAACATTTCAATATTGATAAACTATACGGGGTATAGTGCGATGACCGTCGGTTAGCCGTATTTTTGGAAATAAAAGGATATATATCCTGAAAATTAGCAAGTGTAGGTTTTTCAAAATGCTTCATCGAATGAAAATGTATTTCCAACACTTTTGGTTATACCGGGAAATGATACCAGCTTTCTCAATTCAAATATAACACCCTGTATGTCTTCAAATTGTTGAATACCTGGCGTATTTCTAATGTGAGTTTATGTAATACAATACCAATACATACCAAAAAAATTGTTCTCGAGATATTCATTTGTTTACTTAAAGAAATGGATATTCATTTCTCAAGTGATTCCCCCAGAAAATTCGATGGTTTGATGGAATACATAAAAAGGCTATTACTGATTCATCAAAATACTTCATTTCATCGTCTTGCAGAAGTAACATTTCCAAAATGTTATACAAGGTGTTCGGAATCGACGAATAATTCTGAAGATATAAAAATGTACCAAAACTATGTGTTTTCAAATAGAAAACCGTGTATTTTAGGATAATTTTGAAATTTCGAGATGACTTTCACTCATTTCCATGAATTTTTTTTTATCACAAATCAAGAGTTCACGATAAATCTCAGTTTTTCTTGAAAAAATAAAACATGCGCATGTTCATCATAAAAACCTTCATTTCGAACAGTTACAGAAAGTTTATTAGAGATATTATGGTTTTCATTGAAGATAGGATATCAGATGAATAAATATCTANTTTGCTAGTTGATGGTTTCACGGAATATATCATTATTACAGTTTCTCAACTAGTTTTCAATCTGTTCTTTGAATTAATTTTTATTTCTTATGCTCTTCATCCTATCTGATACCGAATCCTAAGTTTTCGCGCCCATATAGCTGCAATGCTTTTGACCAAATAATTTTTTACATCTTGGTACCAAGGAGGTATGTTCTTTGTTCCTAGTCCTATATAGGTGTTGAAGTTTATTCAGTGATATTTTGCCTTCATGAATTTTGGAAATGATTTTCGAGTAAAAATGTTTGATATGAAAAATCCCGATCTCCATGAACAAATTTCTTCTGGAATTAGTCCTTTTCTTACCAAATATGATTTTCAAGATTTTTTTTTGTATTACGTTCAGACTGTTTAAGTCCCATGCTATAATTCCATAATTGAAGGTATATATTGATATTGCCATTTGTATGAGTGTATTTTACAAATTTCGTGAGCAAAATGTCCCGTTTAGGTTATTTAGATAATTTATGTATAATCGAATTATCGACTGGACTGCAGGTTATTTGCCGAAAGGTATCCGGAAAAACTCAAACCGAATCACAAAAAGGTTGTTGAAAAACTGTTTACATTATGGATCATTTCTTCTAAAAACAAAAGCCCAAGATGGATAATGAAGTTTTCAAATTTAACATATAAATACTTAAGTCGGTAAGAAATAAATATAAAATATAACAGTAGAGGATCAGTTTTATCAATTAGTATGGGAGTACATGTTTATATAATTGAGAATGTGAAAGAAATATACGTGTAAGACAGATACAAACTCATTTATATAAATATTAAAAAACAATGAAACATACTATCGTACAGCTACCGGACTGAGTCATGGCTGGTGGCAGAAATCGTACATACATACTTATTGTAATGAGGGAGGAGCTTCTCACCGGCCATGACTCTGTCCGGCAGCTGTATGTATGCCTATAGTTGCAAATATTATGGAAATTTTGTTAACTAACACTAGTATCTATTCTGCTACTGTTTTCTAAAATCGTCATGAAATATTAAAAAACATTGAAACATACTATCGTACAGCTGACGGACTGAGTCATGGCTGGTGGCAGAAATCGTACATACATACTTATTGTAATGGGGGAGGGGCTTCTCACCGGCCATGACTCAGTCCGGCAGCTGTATGTATACCTGTATGTATGTATGTAGTTGCAAAGATTATGGAAATTTTGTCAACTAACACAAGTATCTATTCTGCTACTGTTTTCTAAAATCGTCATGAAATTGACATAAAAAATTCTTTAATCGAATATGGTTTCATGTTACACAACAAATCGAAGAATAGGTTCTTAAAGTATGCCGTCTGCCTTCTTCTCTGATTGTCAGTGGTGAATGATTTTGAACCACCAACAACTCTAATTGATATATGCCTGAAAACATCAACTGTACCATCAATATGGAAAATGTCGAGAGTATG